GACCTATGCACGGGACAGGGTTTGCAGTGCGGAATTCTCTACTGCCGGGTATTCATCAACCAGTTGCCTAGTCCCCTCGCCTTATGTCTCCTCGATGGTGTCTCAGCCCTGGTTATGTCACCTTAATCGCCGCTTACGCACCCACCCTGGCCTCTAGCCTAGAGGCTAAAGATGATTTCTGTCTTCAGCTCAGTGCGTTCTTGAACATTGTTCCTCCTGGACATGGCATCATCCTCGCATCATCAATGCTCGCATCGGATCTGATTCAAGTGCCTGGAGGAATGTCATTGGCCCACATGGAGTTGGGAGAATGAATGTGTGCTTCCCACAACCTTTGCACCACAAACTCCTACGTTGCAGGCTCCTCTCACTCCAAGGTCACCTGGAGACATCCCTCTCACACCAGTGGTATTAACTGGACCACGTCATTGTCAGACTGACAGCTACGTGACGTCATTCATTGTCGCAGCTTGCACTCTGCCGATTGTAACACGGACCATGCTCTCATTCGCTACAAGCTCCGCTTACAACTTCAGACGTTCCATCGTGCAACACCCAGACCTTTGACTGATGTTGACTTGGTTTCAACTCACAACCCAAGCCGTGCTGGTCGATTCCAGGAGCTCCTTTCTGGTAGCTTGGCTCAGCACTCATCTCTGCTCACCCGGACGAAGCATGGTCCAGATTCCGTTCAGTGGTCTATAATAGTGCTGTGACTGCCTTCGGCCGCCGATCACGAAGACAACCTGATTGGTTTTGGGATAGTGCCAATCTACTTCTCCCAACCCTTGAGACTAACGGTCAGCCAGACATAGGTTTCGCCTGCTGAACACGGTAATCCAAAGCTGCCTTCCAGGTTAGTAAGAGCACTGTCCAGCGGGTAACATGAGTTGCCTGACAGCCCTACTGGTCCCGTTTAAGTGACCGCATCCAACGTTGTGTTGAGTCTGGTGATCTACGTGGCTTGTATCCGGGCACCAAGGAAGCAATTGGGCTTATACCCGAAGAAGTCATCTCATTCGCTGTCATCCATTGGTACAATTCTCACAGATCCAACAGCACAGCTTGACCGTTGAGTTGAACACTGTAGCATGCGATATAACAGTGGTGTTGATGTCTGGCCCTCTTCATTATCATCCTTACCTCAGCTCCTGCCCCTGAACAAATTGGACGAGCCTATCACCTTGTCAGAGATTAGACGTGCCATCAGGTGCCTAAAAAAGCAACAAAGCGCCTGGCATTGATGGCATTCCGTCAGAAGTGCTAAAAAGGGCGGTAACATCTTGGCTGCAGAGCTCCACCTGTTGGGATGCTAGCTCAATACCAAAAGATCTGAAGGATACCAATATTATTACCCTTCATAAGAACAAAGGCAGCCAACAGGTTGTGACAACTACAGGGGCATTTCACTGCTGAGCTCAGCTAGGAGAGTTTTTTGCGCGTGTGCTGTTACCACGGCTTTATGTTATCGCCAACAGGATTCTCCCCGCAAGCCGGTGCGGCTTCCGTCCTTCCCTGGCTACTATTGACATGGCCTACTCCCTGAGACAACTTCAGGAGAAGTGTGTCGAACAGCGCCAACCTTTGCTTTTCGTCTTTTCGATCTAACAAATGCATTTGACAATGCGAGTCGCTCGGGCTTGTTCACATCGCCATCCTGAAGCACTGGGGCTGCCCTGATAGATTGCCGTCTGTCTGGATGAGTGAGCTTCCACAAGGACATGCACGCCACAGTCCAGTTCAATGGCTTAAGATCTGCTGAGTTTGAAATCCGTCGAGGCGTCAAGCATGGCTGTGTGCTCGCTCCTGGGCATATTTCTCTCCGCCCGTTCATATCGCGCATTTCCTGTTCCATCTGATATCCTGAAACACAATCGCAGCTCTGGGAACCTCCTCAGTTTGTCTCATCTTTGTGCCAAGACATTAGGCTAGTCCTTGTACGAGAACTCTGGTATGCGGGTTGACGCAGCCATAGTTGCTCAATCTGCGGTTGAACTTCGAACTTCAAGATCACTGTAATTCCTTTACCAGAGCTTGCCTGAAATTCGGAATGAGAATCAGCTTCAGGACACAAGGACTCAATCCCCGCCTGAAATCACAGTCAATGGCAAAGTTCTGAGCTTTATCGACAGATTCCAGTACTTGGGCTCTGCGGTTACCAGCACCAACTCTGTGGATGCAGAACTAGACTTAAGAATAGGTAGGGCTCCGACCACCTTCGGCCAACTTCAAGCTCGAGTCTCGAACAACCGGCCACTCTCTACCAAGCTTAAGATCCGTATCTACGAGTCATGTGTGCTGAGTGTACTGGCTACTGCTTTACTGCAGCGAAACATGGCCAACCTATCGCCGCCAGGAGCGCCCCCTGAATGCCCTCCATTCCGCTGCCTACGCTCACTGCTTGAAATTTCTTGGCAAGACCGTGTCTCCAACCTGGCAATGTTGGAGCTTAACGATATATTCACATTGTTGTCAGCTCGCAGTCTCCGCTGGTCTGGACACGTCTGCAGACAAGATGATGGTCGCCTGCCTGACGATATTTTCTATGGGGAGCCGGCTTACACTTCTCGCCCCCGCGGCCGTCCAAGACTCCGTTACCGGGATGTCCTTAAGCGTGACTTGCAAGCTTTCCAAATACCAGCCAACTCGTGGGAGACATTGGCACAGGACCGGGTACAGTGGCGCTCCGCTATCCATCTAGGCCGGTTTACTTCCACAACATCATACATCGCTGCTTGCAAGAACCACCTTGTAGCTAGACATTGAGCTACATCATCCATCGTTTACCACTTGTAAAGAATTATGAAAAACAAACAAACGAACAAAAATTCCAAAACAAACACATTTGAAGCAAAATATGGGACGGGGAGAACCCCCCCCCCGCCTTTGTGTTGGCCATTGTTTGATCAGAATCTTAGGAATTCTTTACAGACTTCTGGGGGAATGTGTTACGTAACAATAGTCTTGAGTGTGTATAGGGATTGGACAGGTAAAGGGGGGGGGTATAACTCCGTCCCATATCTTGCCTGGTGTAAACAAACAAGAGACCCAGGCCCTTAAATGTATGTGTACGCTCGTGCATTACCTACACACAATAGCGTGAACGCAAGGTCGAGGCCTAGCTGCTTTACATGTGAAGATTTTTTGTTCAACTTAAGTGTGGGATTTGGGCTAAAATAATTGATGTGATATATTAGTAACATCGAAGGAGCCATAGTTTGTAAATAATCCAAAAGCTGCAACAGTTACTGGTAATCTAGAGTCATGAATCGATGACAAGTCTTTAGATAGTCGTGTTTAATCTGTGAACATCAGTGTGGCTCCATTATAAGGTAAGTAAACGTAACTGCATGGCCACGTTTTCCATTTACACGATCATCTACAAACTGGGAACGAGGCAAACAACGGCCCCGCACAAATACGAATTAATTACAGACTTTGGCACCAAGTCTACAGGCAACCAAGAGGACAGGAGCTAGTCCCAACGTCAAAAAGTCGTATCATATAAATGGGTGACAACTGTTGACAAACAAGTAAGATTTTTGCAGACTAAAGGAAACACAACTTCTCGTCACAAAGTTGCCAAAATCACGACAACCTGCAATGCAGCATATTGTTTTGCAAGCAAATTCCAACTGGGTTCGGAGCACTTTTTGGATTGTCTTGTGGAAAAGGCTGAAGGGTCACACGTCAGTGGAATTCATGCTTATTTGGAAAAAAAGTGTGAATGCAAAAGTTATCGCACCTAACCATGATTCTTCACTCTATAATCCATTGCGTCGTGACTATGTTTCAACTTTTTGAAAAATGCTGCGCATTTTTTCATTCAACATGGTGTATCAGGGGGCAATGCGATGCTTGTATGGCTGAAAGGGCGAATTCGGAAACCAAATCATGGAGAAGGCATTTTTTTTGGGGGGGGGGCAAAGTTTTGGGAGTTTCTTGATCTGCCGTTACCGTTTATGGGTTTTCTAACGAGTAGGCCCCTACTTTTATATTTTCGGGATTTTTACACGCTTTGGAAAGAAACGGAAATAAAAACATGTTTTACATTTCAAAACAAAGACAAAAATTGCCCACGGGGGGGGGTTGGTCACCGTTCCGACCCAGATTTTGCCAATAAGTGCACTAAAAAAGAACCCTTGATGCACTGATGGAAAATTGAAAACTTGCAATCTCTGTGCCTAAATCTAAATTCCTCTAGCCTGGTTTTCTTCCTTTTAATGTCGGAAATTGCATTTACTGAGGTAGGCCTACCGTGACTGACTTGGCAAGGATCAAGACTTTCACCCGGCACTTGAGCATTAACACCGGGCGTAAATCGCTCGTGATGGGGATGTATATCCCTTACACTTTTTTGAAGGAGGGATGGGCTGCCGAAATCATCCCCCATTTTCCGTGGTGAGAAAAAAACCCAAAATGGATTATGAAGAACTTTTGAGGCTTCCAAATACAACCGAAACCCACCCAATAGCACTCAAAAAGGAGAACAATTAAAAGTGTCATCATTTAAAAGGAAGGTACATGTAATACTCATTACAGATGTACATTGGTATCTTGAACATCCCTCCAGTTACATGACGGTGTCAACAACCGCCTCCTGTGTTTTACATTTCCACAGCCAGGCAGGTCATCCCCCATAACCCCCCATCTTCAGTTCCCAGCACAAATGCACGCCACCGAGCATGAAGTAATTTAAACATGGTTGCACTCGCACTAATGTAAAGTGCAACTGAAGAAGCCCCTCTTGAATACAGGTAACTCTGTGAAAGTAAATTCTAGTTCTAAATTACGAGTTGGAAAAGATTAATTTGCAGCCTTATCCCAGCGGCGCACGTCCAACTGCATGCGGACGACATGTACAGAAGGCTAGTAAGGGTTGTGTTTTGCATCGAATGAGCTAGTGTATAGTTGATTATATGACGACATTCAAGAGCAGTGTTTATCCTACACAATCCGCCTGTCCATAATTGATTAGTCATTAAGAAGAACGAGCTTACCTCGCCGGCAAAGCACTTATCTCTGGTCGAGTCCCGGTAGGAACATTCAGACGGTAAATATTTGCTGAGCCGCTGACGAGGAAGGTTTAACCAAACGACGAAGGGAAAAACACTAGTTGGCTCTCTGCAAGGTGAATAATTCCTCCTCTCGCGCGCGATTGACGATCGTCAACCAGCTCGAAAAAGTCACAAAGAAATTAATGAAGTGTTCCTCAACGCGTTTTTTACCTGCCCTGAATGAAAGGAAAATATACCTGCACTTCACTATGTCGAATTTTTGTTGTGCTTTCAACCATTTCTGTGTAGGCCTCAGTCTTAATGGGGGTGAACTTCAGAATAGTTGAAGGACAATAATTCCAAAGGGGCAGTCCTCGTCCACTCATCTAATTCAGATAGGATTTTCTAAAATGATTGAAAACTTCACGGCACGGTGACCTTTTAGATGATAATGAAAAAACAGCGAGTGAAAACGAGGTCCGACAAGTCAAATGCGAACCACAATCAGTGACTGTAAACGCATAATGCTTGTTTGTCAACAGAGGGCGTCGTGACAATACCCATTGACTTTTTTTTTCATTTTACTTGACATATCCTCAACACATTAATTTAATATTAATAATATCAATGAAATACAAGTTGATGAACACATATATACTCGTCTATAGTTATTCAACGGTGATTGATTAGAACCAGATACCAATTGTTTCACAGTACGACTCATGCTGACACAAAAATGTTGGTAATTTCAACGAGGAGCGTTTCAGCATTTCGGGACGTCAGGCTAGACACGATATTCAACGTAACGTGAGTCGAGCTGGGCATCGAGGCGGTTTATGAGCAATAAATTACAAGACACGAAGATCCCTAGGGATCCTGTGGCTAATGGAAAATGCGTGTTAGTGATAATCTACTGTCTATGGCGCGTGTCTCCAGCGATTACATTCGGGAAAACGCTGCCCAAAATGATATGAAAACAGCAGCATAAGTTACACCTCAGGTCATCATAATTACAGAACAGGTTGTATTTTCTGTCCCAACAGAAAGTTTATCAATATATTGCAGTTCGAGAGGTGTTGAAATAACTTAATCCTAACAGATGCCAAAAAAAGTTATGCTCCATCTGTGTCCTGATGCACGAGAATACAAGGAACGTTAGCGTGCGTATATAAACATATCCTTAACCATATAGGAGCCACCTAAAATATCTTCCTTCCTATGAATTCGATCTTTAATTAATTGTAAAGATCGACATACAATTTTGTTTGTTCCAAAAAAATCATTATACAGGCCAAACACATTTACCTGCTATTTGTTATAATTTGGAACTTTAGAAGTTTTTCTTTTTTAACAAGGCCTTACAAGTAACGACGTGCTGCGCACAACTTTTCAATAAGTTAGCACAGTCTGCTGTAGTGTTTGGGCGGAAATTGTCCGCACTGTGAAGAAAAATTTCCAATGATTAATTTTACTGCCCTTTTGCCGACGTAAATTTACGCAGCTTAATCAGCAGTACGGCGCAATGTATTATGCATTATGTCGCTGGTCATTAATCTCAATCCCCTTTTCTTTGTTCGGCAAACCAAGTGAATAATTTATGGTTTGGTGTCTCATTTACAACCTCTTGTACATGGCAAGCAACATAAACAGTCTTGCCGTATGTGCTTATATCACCGTCGATGAAGAGCTCTATAAATGTTTGTTTATTAGATGAATGAAACGTCTTCAGATAGTCATACGAATATCTCACCCCTGTCAGTGCAGTGTCGCGTTTGTATGCAAAGAACAGTGTAATACGACCACTGGAATTGGAAGCCATTACTAGACTGCGGTGGCACAACGCTCGTGGACAGGTGGTACGCGCGCGTTACATGCTTCTTCGACCAATAGGATGTCGTGATTTGCCACATGCACGCGCGCGTCAAGCTGGGAAATGTGCGTGTGAGTGCAGTGCCACCACAGTTATGGCGTCTAATCGGGTTAGTCTATAGGACACAATTATTTCATGATTGCATTTTTCTAGTTACAATTATTGTGTAGTTTTGAGGGCTCTTACGTATTATGAGGAAAAGTGTTGTCTTGCAATGTTCGATAGGAGAGATTATTAGAAATGGAACTCGTGTACATGTTTGTTTAAATCTATTTTTTCACGATTATTGCGACTTTTTATGCTTCATGTAGTATTTTTATCTTTCGTATATAATTCTGTTTTCATACTGCCATATAGGCTAAGTTTCCTGATTTACTCCGTTCCGGTTTAACTTCAGTATGTTCATAAAAGTGGACTTTTATGCTATACAAATATCTATGCCGAAATGACAGATTCCTTCAGCCATTTATGTAGGCCATGTGCGGCGACCCGGTAGCGAACTTCAGAGCAGTATCCCTAGCTCCAACGAGGCCTAGTTGTCTTATTTAATTCACTACGGACTTTTTGTATTTTTTAATGATCGAACGCATCACGGTGCAGCGAGTCTACAACTGAAAATGTGAAATGAAGCTGATAATTAAAAGGTTGGGCCAGGGGCATGTTTTCTGGACTCTTACTGGGAATTATGTTTCAGCTTTGGCCACTGATTGGCTGTTCTCCCAACTTCGGTTGAGCCTGTATGACGTCATTATTTCTGACCAAACTAGAACCGAAAGTTGGAGATGGTCCAGCGCCGGCCCAGTTAAAGAGGCGGAAAATAAGCAGCTATTTTAGTCTGTCACTCTCAAATAAGCGAAAGGTAGGCTTACATTTCAAAATTTCAGGCAGCGAATCAAGAGAGGCTAGGTAGGGCTGACTTTCTTCGAGAACATGAAACTAAAAACTTGAGAGTGGCACTCTATGGAGGCATGCCGAATATTGACTGAAAATGAACAAGGCCGTCTGCCTCTGTCGGATAACGTAACCATCTTTGGCTGTGCGTTTTTGTGGGCCACCTTAAGGATGAACTTTCTCATTGGTTTAACGTCTCATACACGTTTCTGGTTAGTGGTTGCTGTAAGCAAAGTGAAGAACCACGGTGAATCCTGGAACTAGAAACGTAGCATGACTGTCAACAGAGGGCTTCCAGACAGGATTGTCTTTTCCATTTTACTTTACACATCCTTTGACACACCATGATGATATGAATAAATATGTATTCGCCTCTATAGCTATGCAATGGTGACAAACTTAGATATAGATATGTAGTTATGTAAACACATCTTCGTAGGACCCATACTGAATTGACAAATATTTTAATACTGTAGCAATTTGGATCCTTTCAGTCTTTGGGGACGTCAGGCACAATCATTCGGTCAAACTGGCGGCAATAAATTTAATACTAAACACGAAGATGGAAAATGCGTGTTCATGATAATCTACAGTCTGCGGCCTCTGTCCCATGCGACTACGAAGGGAAAACTGTTCACAAACTGGTAGGAAAAAACATAAATTATACCGGAGGTCATCGTATCAGTTAGTACTCAAATTTTGCGCGTATTATTTATTTATTTATTATTTTTTTGTAACTGAGACAGAGTGGTTTGCGGGAGTTGTGGGTTTAACTGAATCTCGAACAGATGCCAGAACTGCCACGCTCCAGTTGCTGTACGACACCTGAGAATGAAACGAAATGAGAAAGTATTTGTTGTTCCTAAAAGCTACAGACAAAACAAACAAACAAACAAACAAACAAACAACCCAACAAACAAACAAACAAACAAACAAATATTGAGCTCAGTTCCTCTAAATTAGGCCATCGTAAAATCGGACATGTATTTTTGACATGACACGAAAACTGTTGAAGTTTTCAAGCCACGTGCTGCGCACAGCGTTCAGGACGAACCTGTCCGTGTTGTGAATGAGAAATTCCTAAGTTTTTTCATCACCCTTTGCGGATGCAAATTTACATAGCTTAATTACTGCAATGTAAGCTGCATAGTGTCACTGGTCATTAATCTTAAGCGCCTTTTCTTCGCTTGGCAAACCTTTCAAAAATGGAATTCTGTCTCATTAGTGAACTATATAGTATATGTAAACATAAAGATTATTGCAATATGCTGAGTTGACCCAAAAAGTGGCTACCTCCTTTTTAAGATGAATTATGGTCACTGTTAATTATGCAGGACGCCAAATTCCTTCCATAACTTCTAGGATACGCTTGCATATCGACTCAAATAATTATGGGTGCTTTTTCAATTCATCATAACTCATAGAAATGTAAACCTTGAAAGATTCTCCTTTTATCCTTTTCTCACAGCAATACAAAAACATCGGAAATTACTCTTCATAACTACACCTGTCAAAATATGCTCAGCCTGATACTTTGTATGCCTGAGGTTTGCTCTTGGATTTAATAATAATAATAATTGACATTTGAATCCATTAAAGCTGCTCCCAGGATTTGGCTGGCTTTTACTGACACAAGAGGGCTCCACTAAATATCGCCGAGGCCGCACCGATCAGCCCGTGAGGATTTCCTTGCGGAACTCCACCTTCGAAACAAGAAAATCTAGCCGTGTGGATACGTCGGGGAAAATGAATATGAAAATTTGGCCGATACTTACATAAATTACTTGAATTTTAATCCAGTGTTACATCACTTTATCGAACAAACTTTTTTTAAGACTAAGTTTTATTTTGATGACTAATAATATCTTCACTTGCTCCGACGTCCGCATTCGACTTATGAATTTACAGAATGAATGGTGTTTACGACGTAGCAATTGCCATTTTCATTTTTCAACATGCATGATTATGGGATATGAATTCATTTATACAAATCACTCAGTGCGACGTATGCGGAAGCGAATGCTCGTCAGAGACAGTGCATGGTGTCGGTAACGCAGCCACGGTGGTGCTATAACTGGACTTCATTTCTGAGTAAATTTCCTTTAAAAGCACATTTTTTCCATGGGCACTAGAAGTAGGCAAAATGAACTGTGGCTTTTCGGAATGTATGTAGATTGGGTACATTTCAAATAATTCAACTAACCAGGCCCGCCCCAGACTGGGCATAGTGGACGTGGCAGAAAGGAGGGAAAGTCTCTCTGGATGGGCAGGGGAAAAAACAAGCAGCTCGGCAAACTGATTAACCGTAGTAGGGGATCGATTCCAAATATGATTTTCAAGCAAATTGGCCATCGATAGCTCCCAATACAACCATGTACCCTGTGGACGAAAGGTCTAAGATGACACAGCTTGCTTGTGCTGTGCTGTACCTCGGTTTAACAGCTGATCGCTTGATCTTTCAATTGAGGGCGCTATTTATCAAATAATCAAGCATAAACATGGCGCCCGATAGTGGGAGTGTTTTTGCCAGTACTCTTCAACATTTAGCACGTTCCCTGTCAAATTTGGACGAGCCACCATGGGAAAAGGTGAGCAGTTATCAAAAGTTATGAACAGAGTATTCCTTGATATCCATTTGGTTATTTGTCGATGGTTTAATGCTGCGGAAATATTATTTCATCTATCGCGTCACGAAGGCCTAATCAAGATTTCCAACAACTGCACGCGGGCGGACAACTTTTTCATGTGTAACTTGTTAATAGGCCAAGTTCGGCAAAGTTATTTTATTTGGCAGTGGATATTGTGAGTTTTTTTTCTTGTTTACCACTTCATGAGTGAACATGAGCAGTGAGTATGTTTGGGGGGAATTCAGACATCTTTACTTTTGACAAATTTCATTGTGTGACTGTGCCAAGTAGGCTACATAATAATAATGCATAAAGTAGGCCTCGCAAGTAGCAGGGTTCTTCCCACGCACAAACTTGCGTATTTCTGCCCGATATGTAAAAATGGGCCAATGCCCATTTTTTCATCCCAGATATGCATAATATAATTATGATAGTATGGCTCAGAATTATCTTACATAATGCAGATTGCATGTCCGGAAAATCTAGACGAAAAAGCAGTTAATAGTCCTGCATTTTTCCGTGTACATGTACATACTATAGGTAGCCTACATGGTACATGCATTGTGCACCACGCGTCGGCGGCCACACTGTACACCGAACATGTACATCGGCACCGAACGTGTCTCGTGGCTGGTGCCGCATGAAATCTGAACTTCCGTCATGGGCGTCGTACATGCACCCACGTGTTTTCTCTGTGCCATGTGCTCAATACGCTAGTGGGGCTGTATTTACGAAGGTTGACATTTTATACTTCACCATTCGCAGAACTTACAACATCGACCCCACACACGTTTTTTTTCATGGCGGCAGCCGTAGCCCTGTGTAACCGTATTAATGGCATCTACGAGGGGGACGATATTTCTTATTGCCATATCACCGCATTTTGTCTCTCGCACACAATGGCCGAAACTCGATCAGAGATAGGCTCCTTTTTAAGCCAATAACATCAGCAGTCTGTGCTGAGGGAAACCCAAAGGCTGACGAAGCAGCCACCTGCAGCACATGCACGGAAGGCGCTGGCGAAGGAAAGCCTGATCAGCAAAAACCAGAGGTTGAAGCGTGTATTAAAATTAAAACTGAATAAACAGGTGTTTAAATTGTTGATTAAAACAGCCATTACATGTTGTTGCCTGTTTTTGAAATATCCAAAATTAAAAAAAAAACTAAATAAATCTCTTTTGTTGTTTCCTGAGAAAAGACACTTGAAACGCCCAGGAAATGCTCCGAAATGCAGCTGAGAGCATCTAAAGTCCAAAAATTTCTGGAACCCCACGTCATGACTTCACAAAATGTTGGTAAACACAATGGAAAACCCCCACAGATTTGAAAAATCCCAGAGGGAACCCTGCCTAGGGCTTACTAGAACTTCAAGAAGTACAAGTAGGCCCAATCAAGTATCAATGGAGAAGTAGGCCCAAGGCCCCCCTAATTAGTGAGTGTGACACTTTTTGTAATTTTCAAGAATTCCCCGACAAATTTGGTATCATTTGAAAGCTTATAAAAAAATTACAACGGTGCTAAGACCTAATGGCAAAATTAATGATAATTTTAAAAGGGTCATTTTCTGTCACCATCTTCCATTTTCACACACGTTTGTTTCCAGAGCAGTTTTTCATACATTTTGAAGAACAAATCCAGCAAATCTGGTTCCAGAAGAACTAGAAAGAACAGCCCCACAGCAATAGTTCCTGACTTCAAATTTTTAGGTGGTGTACAGTTCATGACTTGAGAGGCCACACTTTAAAGCATAAACAAAAGTTTGTGCTTATAAAATGCTCAGCGTCACATATATATACAACAATGCACTAAATGCCACTTGTGCATTTGTAATTTTGCCCCAAAAGTTTTTTTAGTAATTAGTCAAATAAAAAAATGAATGACTCGTCTGCCAGTGCCCTCCAGCATAAACAACAAAAACTAAACCACACAGGGCCTACTCACTCGATGCCATGGTGGAATTCAGAATGTTGTAGGGTATCGGTGCAGTGCTGGCCGTGTAGCCTGTAAAATGTACAATCGTTACACAGCCAATTATAGACTTTATTTGCATTGTCTTTGCTATGGCCCTATTCTACATGTAGGCTAATTTATTACTTACAGTACATTTAGAAAGAGTGTCTTGTCCTGCATCCACATTTTTTTCACCGCCAGTTATGATCTCAGTGAACGTTCAGTCAGTGTTTGTAAGTTGTTGACATGACACGAGTCTCAGACAGGATAATAGTTCAAATGTTCTTTCAAAATGCTTCAAAAATTCACTTGGCTCTCCATAGACTTTGTACACTACCAACAGAGTGAAGTCAATAAATATAGAGGTTTGCGGTAGCACAGTGCAAGGATCTTTCTGAACATGTGTGGTTCTGAAAAGAACCAGAGGATACTTTTTTCGGAACCACACACGTTCGGAAAGAATCTCTTTCTGAGCATGTGTGGTTCTTAAAAGAACAGGAGGATACTCAAAGAGATATCCTCGCAAGGATGTCTCTTTCTGAGCATGTGTGGTTCTGAAAAGAACCAGAGAA